CGGTGGAATCTGGTGGGGTGTCACGCCCCAGCCCCAAAGTCTATTTTTGGTATTCCCTGGAGACTTCATTGCTCTGTTCCCCTTGCTGTTCTGTTGCACACCCTTATTGTTTCGCCTCAGTGTGGTGGGATCAGATTGGACGCAATTCCTGCACTGTGTCTCCAGTGTTGTCCCCTATAATATGCTGGAAAATTTTAAACAAAATTAGCATTCCTAATAGAAAGTAGACCTTCTGCCACCCTTTTCTGAATATGAGGCTTTACCCTTGATCTGGTATAAATTTGAGGCAGAGTATATAGCAGATAACAATGACCATGGAAATATTTGAGCATTGTGGTATGTTATTCTACATACTTCAAGGGGGCTATTCACAATGTACAGATCTTGAGAAACACTGTAAAGAAAATATAGAAATTCAAGGGAGGATGGTAAAAAAGTACCTCAAACTATCTTTGAGAATGTCTTCAACATACCCATCATTTATTCTCAATTAAGAGCTTTTATCTAATGACTTGTTCTGTCCTTCCATGTTCAAGAGAATGTTTTCTCAGTCAGTGTTTCCAAAATGAGAGCTTTGTTTTTTCAAGGACTACAGCTGCAGAAGTCTGAGAGATGAGTCAAATTAGGTCATATTGCCCAAAGGCTGTGATACGTTACACTTTGAATTCTTTGTGAACTCAAGGGTCGAGTTTAGGATGACCTTGTGGTATTTGGAATGTGAGCCTAGCTAGATTGGCAAGCAGTTTCTCTTTTAAAAGCTTCAGGTAGAAGGAACGCATTCCAAAATTTAAAAAAGCAAATCATCTTCCTCTTCACCCTCGCAACCACCCTCTTTCACCCAGACACATATACATGTTTTGGAGCAATTCATATGTTATTCTCTGTGCTGTTAACAAGGGAACTGCAACTCTTAGCAAGTCCAGATTCTTTGAATGTGAAGGTGTTTAGACTTGAGGCCTTGTATTGCGCCCTGCTCATTCCACATCTTAAAATATGTCAGGGCTAGACAGTAAACAGTTACAGTAGTCGTGCTCCAAACCACAATTAATAGTGCGAACTGTCATGTTACAAACCTGCCTCTCGACTCCCTAAAATAAAGAGCTGGGAGCAACCTGTGGCAACTGGACCTCAATTTCTGTTACCAAAAAGGATATTACATTTCATTTTCTCCACCTAGTTTTTTATGTGATACCTGATGGATTGATTGCAAAGTGGATTATGACATATATCTGAGTGTAAAGTTATATGGAAACTGTCTAATACTTAAGTTTGGTTAAATTGCTTCAGTTATTTCTTCTGTGGCTAATATTACAATGCAGACATTTCATTCTGGATACTGCTTCTAAAACAGTAAAGCAAAATGTCAGAATTACAGCCAGAGAGTTAAGTGGTGAGCTAATTAGATGGATTTCAGGCAATCTTAATTTAGCATTTTTCAACAATCGTACCATTGATGATTTTATTTTATTTTAGCCATGTCCTTTGGGGTCCCGAGATTTTCGAGAGAAACAGTGTGCAGACTTTGACAATATGCCTTTCCGTGGAAAGTATTATAACTGGAAACCCTATACTGGAGGTAATGTATAACTGGGCAGAGCATTCTTCATGCTTGAGAGAGTTGCAAAAGTAAAAGCTACATATAGATATGTGCACCCATGTGTACATTCATGCATATACTAGCGAAAATGAGCATTTACAAATGGCAGAAGGCACAGGCTCATAGTGCTGTGAAGTTTACATGTTTTAGTTTCTATTTAATGGTTGATATGCTAGTAAAATAATCAGAACTCATAAAAAAGTCATTGTATTTATTAAGATACAAAGCTGTTAGAAAGAACATTTGCATGTATACAAAGCCATATCATGATATTTTTTAGTTCTGCATGAGACTTCCTTGAGGTATATGTACATTATTTTGTAATTATTGGATATTTGGAACTGTCACCTTAAAAACAAATTATAAAACTATAAATCAACTCAAAAGAGACCATCAAATTCTGTGTTCTTTGCTGGTCAAAGATCCAAGCTATTCTACTCATTATTGTTATTGCTTTTACTGTTAGGAACGTTTGTGCTCTTTAATTAGGGGCTGTATCAAGCACTCATTGCTCAAGAGATACAAGAAATTTTCTTAAGCTTTCCAAATTTAGTATTATTTGGAAATTTTCTCTAGGAGAAAACTGAGTGTACTGTTAAGCAACTTTTATATATTGTTCACTTGTTTTTCTAATATTTCACTGTGAAAATTAACCAACATGTGGGGAAGTTAAAAGAAATTTTCAGTGACAACTGAATCAACCATTTAATTGTATTTTCCTTGAGTTTTGGAAACGGCATATTCTTTTTATTTATCTATTTAAAAT